CTCCCGCTCCCGCTCCCACCTCCAATTACAAACCTCCGCCTCCCCCTCCGCCTCAACTTCCGCCTCCAACTCCGATTGCAGGCCTCCGCTTCCACCCCCGATCGGCAGCCTTCGTTTCCACCCCAGATCGCAAGCCTCCGCCTCCGATTACAGACCTCCTCCTCCGCCTGCATCTTGTCATCGTCCTGCTCCACCTGATTCTTTCTGGTCACTTCTAAATGGCACTCGTCATGGCGATCGGGACCCGCAACGAAGATCGGGATATAGTAGTGATGAATCACCCTGATCTCGACGAAGATCGGGATCGCAATAAAGACCGGGATGACAGTGAGGATCCGTATTGCAATTACTGTAATATCGGGATCGCAATGAAGATCAACATCGTGATCTCTCTGGAGATCGGGATCGTGATGAAGATCGGGACCCCGACGAAGATCAGGATCCCAATGACCGTTGGGGGGTCACAAAGATAATCAGCGGGATCGCGATGGGGGGAAGAATGATTGATCGATCAACAACCCCGGCGCGCAAGATCTTCATGAGGATGATGGATGTATCGTTTTTGGCGGGAAATGATGTGGCGCGCAAGATCTTCATGAGGATGATGGATGTATCGTTTTTGGCGGGAAATGATGTCCATGAGCGGGAAATGCTGAGGTGGCGAAAGAAGAGATCGTTATCAGCGCGATCATCGAATGAATCACCGATCTTTCTCCTCCTCTTCTTCGCCTCCTTCTCTCCTTCGCCTCCTTCTCTCCTTCTCTCCTTCTCTCCTACTCTCCTACTCTCTCCTTCGCTCCTTCTCTCTCCTTCTCTCTCCTTCTCTCTCCTTCTCTCCTTGACCTCCTCCTCCTCCCCTGATCCACTGCCTCCACCGCCTTTGTCTCCTCATCTCGTCTTCCGTCTCCTCCTCCCCTCTCTTTCTCGTTTTCCTCCTCTTCGACTCGGTTGTGTGCGTGATGTTGCTCGGGCTGCTGCTGCGCTATTCTGCTATTCGGCTATTCAGCTATTTGGCTATTTGGCTATCTGGCTATTTGGCTATTCGGCTATTTGGCTATTCGGCTATTTGGCTACTCGGCTGTACCTTATGAGGCTGCGGCTGGTGGGTTGCCATAGCCGAGTAGCCGAGTCGCCGAATAGGTAGGAGAATAGCTGAAAGGCTTTACCCTTTTCCCCCGAATAGAACGTAAGATCATTGTGCCCAACAAGAAGAAAGGCTGATGCTGGTGCAGTCGCTGGCTATCCTCCTAAAAAAGCCTTTCGGCTATTTGGCTATTCAGCTATTCGGCTATTCAGAATTCCAGTAGATCGCCACCCTCTCGTCTTTAAAATTATATATATACTGCCTACGGTTTACCGGGCATTTCTGTTTGTGACGATATATATATATATATATGATGAGTCGGTGAAACTCCGACGAAACAGTTTGTCACAGCCCCTCGTTTGTTGTCCTCTTCTCTCTCCCTCTGCCTACGGTTTACCGGGCAGTTCTGTTTGTGACGATATATATATATATATAAACTCCGACGAAACAGTTTGTCACAGCCCCTCGTTTGTTGTCCTCTTCTCTCTCTCTGCCTACGGTTTACCCGGCAGTTCTGTTTGTGACGATATATATATGATATATATATTGTCACAGCCCCTCGTTTGTTGTCCTCTTCTCTCTCTCTGCCTACGGTTTACCGGGCAGTTCTGTTTGTGACGATATATATATATATATCTTCTCTCTCTATATATATATTTTAAACTGCAAGAAGTAGAAAAAGAAGAAGAAGAAGAAAAGGGACGTCAACAGATATAGCGAGGACAAAGCTCTTCCCCAATGAACAAGAACGAAAACAATATAGCATTAGACGCAGAAGAAGAGGAAGGAAGAATAGTGGAAAACAGTGGCCAGCTGCCTTTCGTACACGCATCGAAAGTTCTTCATTACATAGCCTTGCATACTCGTCTCAGCTCTCGCGCACATTCCCCGACGCGTTTCGATCGGTTGCGCTCCGATCATCCTCAGGGGGCTAACCTCATGACCCCGCCTTGCGGCCCCCCACCGTCTACCCTCCCGTCTTACTGAGTGTAGAGAACCGATACGGCCTTGTCCTCCTATACACTGTCCGTCGAAGCTGCGGAACTACAGTAGCTAGCACGGTACTCCTTCCCTAACTAACGGGCACTTCCACGAGCGACTACGGCTACCGCCAGCCTGCCATATAGACGTTACGTCGAGCGTCGTGAGAATCAGTTACGTGTACTGTCGGCCCCTCAACGGGCAACAAATAGTCAGTCCACGTAATTTTGCAATTCCTGACACACTATCTACTCATGCAGACTGACGACTTTCGCCGCATATATCACGTGTACAGGGTACTATGCAAAGCAGGGGTTCGCTTCATATTTTCCAACGTTTACATGCCTCCGTCAATCTCCCAGCCTTACTTCCTATTGGGCTAATCCGAGTTGCGTGGATCGTAGGTAGGTTCCGTACCGTAACTACAGTCTTTCCCCGAACACAACGTACGGTCATTATAGCTGAATTTAAACTGAAAGATACCCCAAATTCAGCTATAATGACCGTACGTTGTATTCGGAGGAAGACTGTACTACGTGGCCCCCCGTTTGTCAGTCACACGCGGATCGCGCGCAAACTTTCTAAATTCAAATTCAAATTCGCCACGCGAGCGATTTCCCGCTTGGGAACTAGGCGGGTACGGTTCAGTAGTCCAGTGGGGATAGGGTGGCTTGCACCTAGTATGGTGCCACGTACGCCCAAAATCGCCTACCGGACCAAAAATTGCCCTATTTCGTCCGCTAATTTCGAATATCTTACATCTGTGGGCCAAAATTAACGCGGCCAATTACTGCTAAATTCTGGTCCGCGTCTTGTCCTCCTCACAAAGAGAATCAGATAGTAACTACAGACAAGGATAATACCAACATTCCACGGAAAAAAAAAAAGATGCCACGAAGAATCAGGGATGAGGGATGGGGGCGCATCCTGAGGGAAAAAAAAAAGGGGGTCAGGGAGGGGGAGGGAGGGGGGGGGGGAAGGCACGATTGGCATCGTCATCAGGACCTTAATGACGGTCAAGATCCTTTTTTAATGGTATATGGACCCTTCTTGGATTCCTCCGTATCGTAATTGCGCAGCGCCCATGCTAATCCTCTTTCACGGAAGTCTTGTTAAAAATCATATAAATAAATAAATAAATAAATAAATAAAAATAAGAATAGAATTGTATACGATATCCCGGAGGACAGAGAGCAGAAAAATAAGAAGAGCAAGATGAGCAAATGCCGATATCCGATCTGTGGGAGGTGGAGGACACGTGGCCGTCGCGATCGCGACAACCTGCCACCTCGTTCACCCGCATGGAACGCCCGGTCGCGCCGTTATCTGAATTTTTTTATTTTTTTTTCAATCGGAGGACACGTGGCCGTCGCGATCGCGACAACCGCAGAGAATGATTGAAAAAAAAATAAAAAAATTCAGATAACGGCGCGACCGGGCGTTCCATGCGGGTGAACGAGGTGGCAGGTTGTCGCGATCGCGACGGCCACGTGTCCTCCTCCTCCCACAGATCGGATATCGGCATTTGCTCATCTTGTTCTTCTTATTTTTCCGCTATATCGGCCACGTGTCCTCCTCCTCCCGAGATCGGTTGTCGCGATCGCGACGGCCACGTGTCCTCCTCCTCCTCCCATCACCGCAAACCCGATGGTTATGTATAGCCAGTGACCATCACAATCTTCGCTTCTCCTACTTTCCGCCGCCTCCTCTTTCTCCTCCATCACCTCCTCCTCCTCCTCTTCCTCGTCTTTCTCCTCGCCTTCCTCCTCTTCGTCACTCGCCTCTCCCACTTCATGCTCCTCCTCTTCCTCCTCTTCCCCCCCTTCTCCGCCTCCTCCTCTTCCGCCTCTTCCTCTACAGCCTCCTCCTCCTCCTCCTCCCCCTCCCCCACCTCCTCCTTCTCTTCCACCTCGGCTCCTCTTCCTCCTCCTCTTTTTCCCCACCATCTTGTCCTCGTCTTCTTCTTCCACGTGCTCTTCCTCCGCTTCCCCCTCCTCTTCCTCCTCTTTCTCCTCCTGCTCTTCCTCCTCCTCCTCCTCCTCCTCCTCCTCCTCCTCATTCCGCTGATGCTCCATTCCGCGACCATCACCACTTCCTCTTCTTACGGGATACTCACTCTTATCTCTTTTGTAAATGCATCTGACTGCGATTACGGCCAGACCTGGATGAATCTCGCCGCAATCACGTCTAGAGCTTTCTAGAAGAAGCCCTACCAGTAGTGTGAGTATGGGCCTCGCGGCACTACTCTTGAAATGTGCAAAACGAGAGTGAATGTTCCGCGAGAATATGGACAGATACACCGCCATGATTTTTGTCTTTTGTGCATTTCAAGAGTAGTGCAGCGAGGCCCTATAACCTTTCTCTTCTCGAAGAGAAGAAAAATATAATAGGGCCTCGCTGCACTACTCTTGAAATGCACAAAAGACAAAAATCATGGTGGTGTATCTGTCCATATTCTAGCGGAACATTCACTCTCGTTTTGCACATTTCAAGAGTAGTGCCGCGAGGCCCATACTGGGACTTGAAAACGGCGCCCTTGGGGGCGGGGGTGGAGGGGGATGAAACACCTTCGACGTCGTAGTGTGTAATGTTTGAATAAGTCTCTCTCTCTCTCTCTCTCTCTCTCTCTGTGTGTGTGTGTGTGTGTGTGTGTGTGTGAATGCATAGAACAGGAAAGTGCAGATACTGACCGGTGAAAGGCACTGCCTTGAGCCGCTACGGGTGACAGAGGGGAGGCATGGCTGCAGCCCGCTGAAATCCCCAAGCTATTTGGACAAGGTGACAGAGGGGAGGGGAGTCTTTTCTCTGCCCTCCTACACCTCCACCGCTGGAGACCTCTGCTTCCTCCCATCCTCCTCCTCTCCTCATGAGCACTGCAGCTCTCTACTGACACTACTCCCAGTAACTTCGCCGCTATTGTGTAAGGGCATCGCCACACCACTCTTGAAATGCGAAAAATGAGAACGAATTTCCCGCTAGAACATGGCCAAATGCATCCGCCACATTTTTGTCTTTTTCACATTTGGAGAGTGGTGTGGCGATGCCCTGAGTCTGGCAACATCTACCGGTAGGAGGACTCAGGGCCAGATCCCACTGGCAAAGAGGATTGGAATGAGTGTGTGAATCTGGACGTCTTTGTGGCGAGGTGCAGAAAACTGTGATTGATCTGCTTTGCTGCATCTC